GTTATGTCATTAAAACAATTATTTAATTTGGGACATATATTCTTATAGAAAAACCAGCCGTTGACCGCTACTTCATCCGCATAGAGTATGAATTTTATAACATAACTTTTTTTGTTTCAATTTTCCTAAATAAAAGTAGCCTATATTACTCCTTAGTATATGAGCTACCTGCCATTTAAAGTAGCAAAATCAGTTCAGCCATTGCACAGATTAAAAAGTACAAACAGACAGACAGATTAAACTAAAAAAAAAAAAACAAAAAGTTATTTTGGTATGTGTATATATTATTCACTAGCTACTTCCGTGCGAACTTACGCGCTGTGCTCAGCTCCTATTGGTTGTAGGGTGATGTTTTATAGCCTATAGCCATCCTCGATAAATGCGCTATCCAACACAAGAAGAATTATTCAAATCAGACTTGTAGTTTTGGAGATTAGCGCGTTCAAACAAACAAACAAAAAACAAAATCTTCCGCTTTATATAATAGTATAAGATATAAGATATGCATGTAGTAGAAATGCAGTTATTCACCTATTTTAGTAATGCATAAGTAACAAAAAAGACTTACTAATATAATTATTTTACAATGATTTCCAGCAGTAGCGACCTACAGCCATGGACCAGTTACTACAGCAGGTTGCCTCCAACATGGAGAAGCAGCTGGACAATGAGATTGAGAGGTATATCATACTTTTATCCCATATCCAAGAGAGGGTGCTATATATTGTAGACATTTCAATTGTTTCAAGTCTGGGAGAGCCATGCTTCGGCACTAATGGACTGGCTTGACCGGAATGATGCCACCAACGAGCAGAAAACCGACGTGAAGCAATGCTTGAGTTTCATCATGTGAGACCAGTCATTGAAGGCCCAATTCCCCTCTTCCCCAGTCTCTGAATCATCAACAATCCTCAAATTCTGAATCCCCAAAGGGCCGGTAACGCCCTAGTAACGCCTCTGGTGCTTACTATAAGGGGATCCGTCTGATTGTTTACAAAATAAGCATGTTTTCATGTCTCTCTTGTTTTTATTTTTTGCCTCACATGAATGGAATTTGTATCTACAAATACTCACATATACTCAGACGTGAAAGGCTATTTTTCCTGAGAATTGAATCAATAACTTGTTGTATAGCTACCAGTCGCCCAGCTACTGAGCCAACCACACTTATAGAGCCTGCAGACTACTCACACTGCCATTAATATACTTACACTTATGAAGAAATGATGACATTTCGATATTTGTGTGTTACTTGCTAATATTTTACCATTATGTCTTGATTAACTAAAACCGCGGGTTACTAACGTGAATATACAGAGAAAAGCTCTACTAGTTTCGAACCACATGGGGGTTCTTCCTCATGAGCAGCGTGCGCGGTCGCGGCGATGTCGCGCAGCTCACTCAGTGAGCTAATTTAGTATAAGTAGTCTCACGATAGTTATTACAAAAATATGTCTTGATGATTCCAGGTTGGAGACGATGGATTCTAGTGACCTGGAGGCTATCAGACAGCAGAGGATCGCAGAGATGAAGAAACGCGCTAAGGCCAAGCAGGAGTGGCTAGCTAATGTAAGTAATATATTACGATATTATGTTTATATATATTAAATCTTTCGTGAGACATACTTTTATGCAATTACTGCCTCGTTGGCCGAGGTTGGGGTCTCGGGTTCGATTCCCGGGTCGGGCAAAGTATTATTGGGTTTTGTTAAAAATTCTCAGTAGTAGCGCGGAGTCTGGAATTGTGCCCGGTATATGGCAATAGGCTCACCCCCTATTACATGGGACTCATAACATAAATAGTGATAAGTGGGTGTTACATTGTACAGTGGCATTAAGTGCCGGAATGTGCACCTCTGCCTACCCCTTCGGGGATAAAAGGCGTAATGTTATGTTATGTTACTTTTATGCAATAAACCGGCAAACGAGCAGACGAACAGACCACCTGATGGTAAGCAATTTGCGCCGCCCATGGACACCTGGAACACCAGAGGGGTTACAAGTGCGTTACCGGCCTTTTGGGGATATTGAATTTGAGGATTATTGGGGAGGGGCGGTAATTGGGCTTCCAGTAATCTCACTCCCACAACGAAACATAACGCAAGCGTTTCTGCACCGTCTGTCGGTGGCAGACATTATAAACTATTAAATTAAATACAACGACTTGTGCTGATTGCGATACGAAAAGAAAAAGGAACAGATTTAAACAAATGAATGAACAATGAACTTCACTACATAGTATAAAACAAAGTCGCTTTCTCTGTCCCTATGTCCCTATGTATGCTTAAATCTTTGAAACTACGCAACGGATTTTGATGCGGTTTTCTTTAATAGATAGGAGTGATTCTTAAGGAAGGTTTATATGTATAATACATGCATAATATAGTAGAGAAACACTGATAAATTTAGAGGTTTCTAATGTGATGTCGTCAATCAGCACGTTATTGCGCTTATATTGCTAACGCTGGCTGTACTCTACGAGATAGACCAAAATAATGTACTACAGTATTGATCACCTTAAAAAGTTCAACAAAATAGTCCGCGATGGTATATGTCTATCTCTTAGGGATAAGTGGATAACCCACCATAACCATTTTTTATCCTTTACTATCAATGGTTATTTACGAAGTGATTTTAAACAATACAAAATAGCTGTAAACGCAGTGTAAAAGGACATTTTGTAGTAGGTATTTTTACATAAGTGTTGCACCCGTGCGAAGCCGGGGCGGGTCGCTAGTAATCAATATAATACACCCACAAAAAAGTAAAACAGAAGAAAGTTACATCTGTTACTCACTAGATGGCATAGGTGGTTTCATTTGATGTATATTTTAAACAACATAAGCTTACCCCCCCTTCTTCCACAGGGCCATGGGGAGTACACAGAAATAGACGGCGAGAAAGAGTTCTTCACAGTGTGCAACAAGAGTGAGCACGTGGTCTGCCACTTCTATAAGAACGACAGTCCTCGCTGCAAGATCGTGGACATGCATCTCAAAGTACTGGCCAAGAAACATGTTGAGACGCGGTTCGTCAAGCTGGATGTTGAGAGAGCTCCGTTTTTGACTGGCAAGTCAACTATTATTTTATTTTAGTATAAGCCGGTAAACGAGCCGACGGATCACCTGATGGTAAGCAATCGGCGCCGCCCATGGACACTCGAAACACCAAGGCGTTACAAGTGCGTTACCCGCCTTTTGGGAACTGGGAATTTGAGGATTGTGGAGAATTCGGGGATTCGGGAGACAGACCTCCGGTAACTCACACGACAAAACACAACGCTAGCATTGTTTCACTATAGTTCTCTGCTCGTTGGTGGTAGCACTCCGGTCGAGCCGACCCAGCAGTGCCGAAGGATGGCTCCCTATTACATGGGATTCATAACATAAATAGTAAAAAGTGGATGTTACTTCTGTGTGCACCTTTACCTACTTCTTCGGGGATAAAAGGCGTGATGTTGTGTGTTATGTTATGATTTGATAACTTTTTTTTTATAATATTATTGACTAATCCCCCACGGACACTAGGTCCGTGCCCTTGTCATACAATTTTCGATTTGATAACCTTAGGATCCTATATACGGCGAGAATAAATATGGACCACCGCTTCTCTTCCCGCGAGTGTCATATACCCGAATAAGATCTGACAGAGACCAGGCACCGAGGTTACAATGATATAATATTTCCATCTCTTTCCAGGTCGTCTGAAGATCCGTGTGATCCCCACGATAGGGCTGGTGAAGGAGAACAAGACTAAAGACTTTATAGTCGGGTTCACTGACCTCGGGAACAGAGATGACTTCTCCACTGAGATGCTGGAGTGGCGGATAGCCAGGTAAATATATATATTATACTTACTTAATTTATATAAATGTGGGAGAGCCATGCTTCGGCACTCCTGGGCCGGCTCGACCGGAGTGATACCACGGCCTCACAGAAAACCGTGAAGCAACGCTTGCGTTGTGTTTCGTCGTGTGAGTGAGGTTACCGGAGGCCCAATTACCCTCCCCTTCCCCAATCTCCCCAATTCCTGAATCCGCAACAATCCTCAAACTCCTAATCCCCAAAAGGCCGGTAACGCACTTGTAATGCCTCTGGTGTTCCAGGTGTCCATGGGCGACGCCGATTGCTTACCATCATATGATCCGTCTACTTGATTACCGGCTTAAGCCATAAAAAAAATAATTAAAAAGCAAATTACATAGGCTGTGGCCGGGGGATGCTAAGGAAACCAAGGATTTTGTTATATATTTTTCTCCTTCTGTAGTTCAATCCATCCAAGCGATAAATTATTATGTTTTCGGCTTACTCACGTAATTAATTGACGAGGAACTCGACTAGTTTCAAGCCATGCTAGAGGCTCATATGTCTCACGAAAGTTGTATAACAATCTATCCAAGCGATATTCAGCAATAGGTAAGTATTTGCGTAATTCGGCCTGCGCGGTACATGTCCGCTTCGTATCAGTCACAGTCTATAACAATAGGTCCTGTGGAGTACACAAAATATTACACAGTTTTATAAAACACACATAACATCACGCCTTTTATCCCCGAAGGGGTAGGCTGAGGTGCACACAGAAGTAACACCCACTTTTCACTATTTATGTTATGAGACCCATGTAATAGGGGGTGAGCCTATTGCCATATACCGGGCACATTTCCTACTACTGAGATTCTTAAAAACCCAATAATACTTTGCCCGGCCCGGGAATCGAACACGAGACCCCACAGATTTTCTCCTGTGTCGTGTGTACGTTTACAAACATACAAGTTCACATGACACTCAGATACGGAACAACAATCTGTGGATCACACAAAGAGTTGCTCCGAGCGGGAATCGATATCACGACACGTTGCGTGGCAGCCAATTGCCCAGCCACCGCACTATTTTTTACCAACATGAAAATATTTATTTTTAAGTATGTTGGGGAGAGTTTTTGGACTGTGTAAATGATGATGCTGATTAAAGGTACTGGTTTATTCGACGGAAGGTAGGTGTGCCTTTACAAATATACGGCGCGCAACGCGTACAGTGCTCACAGCTAATCGAGTGGAAAAGAACGGGCCGCGATCCTCGTCCTCGTATATGTTGATCCCCGCGCAGCGCTGTCCCCCTCTGATGCCACCGCCAATGCCGCCTCCATCGACGTCATCGAGATGTCCGAGACGTTTCCGAACAATGTACATTGTGCAAGATTTCTAACCAAAAATCCTTCAAATTCCAGATCAGACATAATAGAATACTCAGGCGACCTCCTGGTCCCTCCGGAGGAGGCTCGCAAGGCGCGTAAACTGCAGATACAGAACAAAAAAACCATCAGAGGTACTCCGGACTCCGACTCAGATTTAGAACTCAGCGATTAACAGACCATAGTCCATTAGTTATCGTGTAAATTAACAATAGATATAACTATATATTATTTAAATGGATTCCTAAATTATGCTTGTTTAACATCATCAGCCTCTAAGTGGCCACTGCTGACCAAAGGCCTCTTCTCACACGGAGAATGTTTGGGCATCAATCACCTCACTTGGTTACTCAATGCGGGTTGGTGATTTCAAACTTATAATTAGTAATTATAAGGCCAGGTTTTCCTCACCATGTTCGAAGGTCGTGTAGATGATGTTGGCAATTAAATACACTGGTTTGTGTTGCCATCATAACAAAAAATTAATTACAATGTGTATAAATCTCAATTTTATGTATTAGTTTTAAATTACTGCACAAAATTATGTTTTAACAAGCAAAACATTCCTTTTGCATACTTTCTAACAAAATTCTGGCAAAAATACACTTTTTTATAAAACAAAAAAATGTCCTGCGTGAATGGTGCTAAGCGATTGTACAACTTATTGTAGAGAACATAGAGTACATATTTCTTTGAGCGTATTTGCGTAGTGTGACCAGACTCCGTAACGGTAGTTTGGTAGTTTTCGCTAGTTTGTGTTCGGGTTATTATATTTGTGTGTTAAACGTTTAATGTACAATACAATGCATTATTATTAAAATATTTTGAATAAACACCTTTTTTAACAATATTTTGTTTCATTTTCATCTTCATCATTCTTATAAAGTTGGTATTTCTGTTCCTGTCAATGCCAATAGAAGATGATTTTTTTAAAAGATCTACTTAGAACTCCTCTGGTTACTAAATACTTTCTTAAGTAGTTTATTTCCAGGATGTAAATACTATCAAAATTCATCTGGTTTGCCTTCTATAGTTCTATCAGATATAACCCTCCACTACTATTATATTTTAAGATACGCCCGTATACTGAAAGACTACTCAATTTCTAAGTAGCATTTAAATATCGTGCCATCTCTCATTTTACAAAGAATTTATACAGAACTTAAACGCGACTTCAAATTGAGTAGCCTTTCATCATTCGGGCGTAAGTATACTTATTCCTCTTATTTCTTTTCATTTTTATGCAAATTTTTGTTAGAACTTTCATTCCCACGCTGCAGTTTTACACTACTGATTAATATCAGTCCATTTTTATATTAATTTATCCTAACCTATCTACATTAATTGTTTTGAAAGCTCCGAATCCTAACAGAATTTCATAAAATCAATGTATCATGAACGAGGTAAATTTTCCTGCGGCGCGCGGCGCAACGTTTTGTAAAAATTAAAAACAGTAGAATTTTATACCTCGGTCTTGCAGCCCTATTCTCATCTGTCACTCTGTTTCATGCAAAGTTGTGACAAGTGACAGCTGATTGACTGTGAGATCGAGTTGTGAAGTGCAAAGTGTTACGCAGTGTTTTTCAGTATTTTCTTTTTGAATGAAAATTATTGACTAAACAACGAACTATTTTAGTGTCGAATCTTTTAAAATTACACTAGAAACCGCGACCTAGACCTTCTTAAAGTGTGCCTTTGTGTGATTACAAGAAAAAAAGTTGTTTTGTTACGCAAAAAATCTATGGTGTGTGCAAATAAAAATATTAGGTAAGTTTTTCGTGTGGCGCCGCTAGGAATACTTACTATGAGTCTATTTTTAGGTCACCCATGTCGTTTAACGCTCTTTAGCCCCCAAAATAATAGTTTCAAGGTTAAAATTTAGACTTTGAACTATCGAGTTCGTAATCAAAACAATTTTTTTTAAAGTACGTATCATTGTCTGCCTTTGCAGTCCATAAAGTTTGTAAACAATAAAAATAAAGACAGGTTACTTATGATCACGTAATGGCCGAATTTCGTTTCGTAAATTAGATGATTAGCTTTTCGCGTGTTTTGTCACGAAAAAGATAAAAATATAATGTTTTTATTTAACGATCTTATTAGGTGGACTTTGATAATGAATTATATCTACGTTTTTTGCTCCATCATCGCCATCTAGAACTCATTTCTATGATAACAAAACTCAAGTTTAAAAACTTATCATTTTTGTTTTATTTTACTACTTTATCTTTTATTTAACCTTTATTGTTGGATAACAAAATTTACGACATTATTTAGTCTAACATTTTTGAAGGTTATCAAAACAATTTGATAACTATAAGTATTCAATTAAACCTGCCATAAAAATTATGTTTATTAATTTTATATGGCGGAGTACTCCCATCCCTACTCTTCTTGCGGGTGTGATAGAAACCTACTAAAATACTACATATTTAAAAGAGATCAGGTAGTTAGAAAACCTAGAAGCAATCACCATTAAATCTGATTAAGAATATATCAGTTTTGTTGGGTGTAATCATGATCAGTTTTATTGGTGACACTGACAATGGCCCTAAGAGAGATGGTACCCTGGGGATCTGTGCTCTCTTTTTAAACTGTCAGACACCAAGCAGTCACCTATTGTTCTTTAATTGTGTCTATAATGACGGTGCTCAACGAGTTAAACTGCAATCTCTAACAGTTTGCCAAGTGTGGAGATATGACTCCTCTTATGTAGAAGAGGCTCATAGTCCAGTGGACTGTCACCCGCTGTTCATATTTCCATTGATATAATAGACTAGCTACTTCCGCGCAGTTTCACACGCTCTGCTCAGCTCCTATTGGTTGTAGTCTATAGCCATCCTCGATAAATGCCCTATCCAACACAAAAAGAATTATTCAAATCAGACTTGTAGTTACAGAGATTAGCGCGTTCAAACAAACAAACAAAAAAACAAACTCTTCCGCTTTATATAATAGTATGAGATAGGGTTGCAGAAACTAATAAGTACATAATAAAGCTTTGACTGACCTAGGAATTTAATCTTGAATGCTCGACAAATAAGGAAAATATTTTATACCTAATTAACCACTAAAATGCACTGATATGGGACACAATAGAAAATACATTGTGTCTCGCATGGATCCATGTTTAGGCACATGACGGATTAATAATAAACATAAATAAGAGTTACCTAAAAGTCTTTTCATATTATTATGTATTTACTAAATCAATAATATATCTATCTATAGGTATAACGTTGCACTGCTGGGCAAGTGGTATACCGAGACCACATGCCCAAAAAAATAACTTTTAAAAAATTCTCAGTAGTAGCGCAGAGTCTGGAATTGTGATCTGTATATGGCAATAGACTCATCTCCTATTACATGGAACTCATAACGACACATAATTAAGTGGTATTAAGTGCAGCAATGTGCACCTCTGCGTACCCCTCCGGGGTTAAAAGGCCTGATGTTATGTTATAGGTTCAAAAATTAATGCTGAAGACTATGTTTATATAAATGTGCAAATCTCATAAAATACTGCTCTGAATTGGATACTATCCTTAATCAAAAATAAATTATTTCAACTGTTCAATACAATAAAATATTAAAAAATAATCACACTTTCATTAATTGATTTTATGAAGGACTTAATTTTTGTATTTTTCCAGCAAATTTTTAAGATATAACTACGCTGTTTGACGGTAAAAAAACGTGACGACACAATACACAATCTCGTACAAAATTCATAGAAAACTGTCGTTTTGAACAGTTCGAAAGAAAGTATTGAATTTGACTAGTTGGCAAGTACCCAATTGAATAATTCTTTTTGGGTTGTCTAGTCCATTTACCGAGGAAGGCTATAGGCTATAAAACATCACGCTACGATCAATAGGAGCAGAGCAGTAGGTGAAAAGGTACTATGTAATCCTCTCTAACATCGAAAATATATGTTTTGTGAAGCAAATTTTAATATATTTGTACTGCATTCAAGTGCTTCAGTATTAACATAATCATTTAATTAATATTCAGAACCGAATTGTCTGATGTCATTGTGTTTTGAACAATAGCAGGTCAACAGTACACTTGTATTGTAAATTATGTGAATAGATTTTCACTTTATATTCTTTGTGATAGAGTTCAAAATTATGTGACAAGTTTGGATGGTTGAGTATAACTTGATGCGCTAGTGAGTAAATATGTTGGAACCTCTAATTGACTTCTATGGCAAGCGGATGACAGTCCACTGCTGCACTATGAGTCTCCTCTACATAAGAGGGTTTGTCACAATCTCCGCAGGCAGACGGGTTGGAGGTCGCAGTATACAAGGTTCAGGTTTATCAGACAGCGCTGCTGCACGGTCTCTGTCTAATTTTTAGTGTCTTAGTCGGGTATACTACACCCACCGAAAGAGAAGCGGTGGTTAAATTTTGTAATTTTTGAAGATTCTCCTTTAGGTGCTGGTGATCTTGACTGACCAAAATTAACAGAGAACTGTTCTAGTTTTTAGTCGAGTATACGACACCCGCGGGAAGAGAAGCGGTGGTGAAAACAAACTTGGCTTGATTATACATTATTGCACATACCTACTCATAAAAGGTTTTAATTGTTTTTGTTTTTAATTCACTTCGTTTATTATAGCATTGTTCTTCATTGTATGGACATGAACATTGATTACATTAATTAAAATGTGTTGCAATGTAGTTTCTTACCTGTATTAAGTAATGCAGGTTGATTTAAACAACCGAATTAAAAAAAAGAGGAGGTTCTCAATTCAAGGTATTTATTTTGATGGCATTAAGTGCCATTATGTGCACCTCTGCCTACACCTTCGCAGATAAAAGGAGTGATGTTATGTTATGTTGTTTTTTTTACAATATAGGTTTGTCTATACATCTATAGATAAATAAAATTGTAGTGTCTGTTTGTAATATTGAAATTTAACTGCATTTTTACTACATGCATATATGAATATACATAATATGATACCTATACCTACCAAAATAGCATTAATTTAAATTATTGTGTTTGTACCGGCTAATCTCTGAAATGGCTGGACCGATTTCGACGGGACTTTACTAGCAGGTAGCTGATTTTTTATTTTGTTTTATTTATTTAGAAAGTTTACATATTTAACACTACAGCTTACGCCATTAAGTTATACTGTTAATCTTATATAAATAGTAATAAATACTATTATTTAGGTACTTAAAAACAAACTAATTAGGTGATCAAATATAAGAAATAAAAATTAAGATAATTATATAGATATACTAAGTAACATAGTCTACTTTTATTTTGGAAAATTGAAACTAGTAACGTATTTATAACTCATATTCTACGCGAAAGAAGTCGCGGGCAACAGCTAGCAATGAACGAAATCCTTTGTTTGTTACTCCTTCACGACAAAACGGCTGAAGGGATCGGGATGAAATTTGGGACAGGGATAGATTATGGTCTGGCGTGCCACATAAGCTACTTTTTGTCCCGCGGGAACGCGACCGAAGCAGGTAGAGAAGCTAACTTTTTTTTATGGTACAAACCGGTAAACGAGCCGACAGATCACCTGATGGTAAGCAATCGGCGTCGCTCATGGACACATAAAACACCAGAGGCGTTACACGTGCGTTACCGGCCTTTTGGAATTAGGAATTTGAGGATTGTTGGGGATTCAGGGATTAGGGAGGGTAATTGGGCATCCGGTAACCTCACTCACACGATGAACCACAACACGACGTTGTTTCACGTTGGTCTTCTGTGAAAACTAGGTATTATGTGCACTTCTGTCTACCCCCTTCTTGGAATAAAGTCTGTTTGACCATTATCCCAGTTCACGGCCACAGACTAGACAGTTTTATCGAGAGTTACATCATCGATACGTATCTATATATAGCTAAATAAATTTCGTAGTATGTAGTAGTACATAGTTGTAGCTAGCCAAGTTATTTGGTATCATCAGTCTAGTGTCAAGTATCCACTGCTGACCAAAGGTCTCTCACACGGAGAAGGTTTGAGCATTAATCACCACGCTTGCTTAATGCGGGTTGGCGATTACAAACTTATGATTAGAAATTATAAGCCCAGGTTTCCTCACGATGTTTTCCTTCACCGTTTGTCAGTGGTGTCTAAATAATCTTAGAAAGTACATATAACACGGAACAAATCACATTGGTACTTGCCGTTGGTAGGTTTCGAGCCCGCCCCCTCATGCATGAGAAGCGGGCGTCTTAAACTTCCGGGCCACTTTATTTTGAATCTTATTCGAATACCATCTTTCCGAATACTTACTGCTGGAGACAGCTGTATTCTTCTCTACTTGGACAAAGTCCACTGAACCACGGTGATAATGTTACCGCGACTGAGGTAGATGCCTAATTTTTATTTTAATGTCCGTCTGGTAGATTATTTTAAATCATTAGACACGTATTTTTATTTTCTTACAGAAACGAATACTTTCGACGATATATTGATTTGAAATGTCGCGTGACGTCACTTCTATGTACATTTTATACGTAGAAATGAAGTTTTAGCTCCCACTCCTAAACTTTGATTTGTTTTATCTAAGTATTGTTTTATTATACGACAAAATAAAAAAATACGTGTCTAATATTTTTTCGTTACCTAACTGACGGACTAATAACATTTTTAATTTTCATACCCTGTCATCATTCCTATTATTAATAATTTCTTAAACACTACGTAATTGGCCGCGGAAAACCCTGTTGACTGACAATATATCAGAAAAGAACATATAGCTGATAACGCTAATCTATAAGTATACTAAT